GGATTGGTTTGCTGGATTATGGTAGCGACGATGTCGTAATCCATATTAACAAGCCCGGAAACGATTACGAGCTTTTGCTCTGTCACCGGTTGATCAACCGCGACCAATCGGTTTTTCAAGTTCTTTAATTGCTAGCAGTACGGAGAGACGTCCGAGAAATTTGACAGGTGAAGGGCATGAAACTGATTTTCAAGGTATACGACTCTTGTGTTTTTGTTATCTTGAAATAAGTCCTTCAACTTGTTCCATAGTTGCTGAGCAGAATCTCCTTTATAGAGTACGGTTTCTAAGAGATCGACGGAGATGGTGCCATAAATCCATTGCTTGACAATGGAGTCAAGACGAAGCCACAACGAAGAAGAAATATCAGTTGGACGTGCGATGGTCGAATCAATGTGATCAAGGATGTTAAAAGCTAAGCATGGCAATTGACTTCAAACAATTCCACCCAATTGGAGTATTGAACTTTTTCCTGATCAAGAATTAGAGGAATCGCATTCTTGATGTTATTGACTGAGAGGGCTGGATGAAATTCTATCGAAGGTGGAGGAGGTGGTGGTGCGGAAGCTAGATCGAAACCTAAAGCTCTGATACCATGTTGGATTTCGGGAAAATTCCTCAATCTGGAGTGTGTACCATTGATCAATATATATAGAGTTTTACAAGACTCGTAATCTTAGTATGACAAGGATACATAATATATATAAATATTATCCTAATCTGCGATAAATATTATCATAACTATAATATCTATCAATTAGGAACTTTCGAATGAAACTAGTTTGTGGCTCGGGTGATGCCCCGGGTTTTGTTTAAATACAAAATGAAAAAATTACCTTAACTTTGAATAATATTTTGAAAACATTATCTTAAGTTTTAAAATTAATTCAAAAAGTGAAAAAATATATATGGGAATTGAAAGAGAGATTCAGTAGTATACATGTATATATTACTCTATGCAATTGCTTAATTGGTATTTAATCTAGAAAATTACTCGTACCATCCATGGAATCAACAACCATGAGTATTTGATTAATTTCTTACAAATTAATTTGTAGTTTATTATTGTACAATTATTACTTAGAAGTTACATTCTAGAGAAAAATTAAATATGAAAGTTACACATGAAAAGTTTTAGAGTGATGACACATATAAGGTGACACATAGCGATGATGTAGCGTCAGATCATAATGATGCAAAAGTGACACATGGAGTTACCATGTTGTCTCTTTGTGTTTTAATAATATTATAGATAAATGTGGTTATCACATATTTAAGTATGCACTAGTTAGCAGTATTACAGTTTTGATATCATTATTAATAAAGTTAAATTATGGAAGTTTATTTATTTGTATTGTTTTTCTTTCTTTTTTTTTTTTAAGGAATTTTAAATCATATATAGTTTTGTTGAAGCAACGTCTGATAATAATCAGATTTCCACAAACACAATAAGATCTCTAGTTAAAAAAAAAAAAAAAAAAAAGTAGTTTATTGGGATACATGGAATACTGTTATTATTTTGACTATATTATACGGAGTATGTATTCATGGAATAAACACGTTAAATAATCGACTTTTTTGCATATTATATTTCCTCCTAATCGTTAATGCAACTATGCAAGTAACAATGTAACATGTCTCATGTGCTTTATTAATTGTTAATTATCAAATCTCATACATCGTGATAGCTCCTTTATGTTTTATTTTTTATGTGTTCAGTATGTTTGTAAATTTACAAGCTATTGGAGTGATGCTTATCGTTGTTCTGAGTTTGTGACCCTACTCGAATACACAATAATTAATTCTTAAAAACGTGTGGTTGAAAACAAGGAAATCATAAAATTAATGTATGATTGTCAATTTGTCATTGAGAGAATTTGTCGTTAAGAAAGATAGCTGTCATAATCAAATGTTGATTTCTATAGTCTAAGTTCACACTCTCTATAATAGTTAACTGTTTTTTTTTTAAAGATAAATAATACAAAAAGTTTGGAAAATCTAATCAAGGAAGAGGAGAGTTCGGTAGGGTATAGAATTATTTTCTTTGGATTTATCTTCTTTATTTAATTTATGTAGCCGTGTTAATTTTTCTTGCTACTAGTCGTTTACTTAAGATAGAAATTAGGAAAATTTATCTTATAATTTTTTAAAGTTCTTATATTAGGCTTTTTGTTAACTGATTTGTTTTAGGTTTTCCATACAGATTATTTCATGTACAATTAACCCTATAAATAGGGGTGAGAAATCAATAATAAAGTAGATTTTTTAGTTTATAAAATCTAAATTGTGAGATTGATTCGTGTGAATTAATTTTTTGAACCGTTGCTTTTCTTCTTGTTTAAGTCAAAAAGATTAAAACTTTATTGAATTAGGTTTATCCCAAATTGCTAGTATATAAACGCGGTTTAATCCACATCGGTTCCATAATAAAATCAATTGATAATGGTAAGAGTAACTCTTCTACCTTTTATGATGGTGGTCATTTCTCTATTCTTTTTACAATATGGTACACTAACAAGTGAGATTAAAATGGATTTTAACATTAACCATTGGACACAAATTTTCTCTAAAGGAAATAAGATTGTGACAAGACAAATTAATTCGAAAATTAACTTGCTGTTGAAGATGCTATACATGTTTAGTTTTTCTATATCTTAAATACACCTTTAATTTGAAATCGACTTATTTGACATAAGTTTAAACTTTTTACTAATATAAATATAAAGGTCAAATGTTTATTATAAAAGTATAATTTGATGAATTAATGCATTTCACGTTTACCAGTAACTGTAGAAAGTTGATAAAGACAGCAATCACTGTATACGATAGGAACATATTAAATAAAACTAATTATGCAATGAAAAAAATAAATAAAAAAAAAAAAAAGCAAGTATAAAGTGGAAAACATGTAAAAATGAACAAACCGAGTTAACCGACCCACCAATTAAGACCTTCCTAGAAACCTCATCACAAAATTTTGGTAATTGTTAGCTAAACATTTTACAGATGGCAGTCAATAAATGAATAATATTTAACTAACTCATCTAATATATAAATTGCTTATTCTTGACTTAGCTTATAATACATCTTCCCTACAATATAAAGGAATTATTTCACACCCTTTTATTTCATTTTTTTTTTCAAACTACTACTAAACTTCTTTTAACAACCATGGTTGTGTCCAAACCTGAAAAGATGGTTGCCATGGCCTTAGATCACAACCTTAGTCTTGAAAACGCCACGAAACCCGAGGATGATCATCGAGGGTCGATAATCAAAGAAGTCGAAGGGCTAATCAAGTTGTATGAAAATGGTTATGTAGAGAGATCACTTAAAGTTATGTCTTGTGTTTCTCCTTTCTTGGCTCAAGATATTGAAGTCAACGCACGAGATGTTTTTATTGATAAAGTCAACAACATTTGGGCACGTATATATGTTCCAAAATGTAACGATTATGAAAAATGTAACAAGTTTCCACTTACGATTTACTTTCATGGAGGTGGGTTTTGTGTTGGTTCAACTGCATGGAAATGTTATCACAACTTCCTTGGTAAATTATCATCTAAAACGCGGTGTTTGATCGTGTCGGTAAATTACCGTTTAGCCCCTGAAGACCGCCTCCCGGCGGCTTACGAAGATGGAATGAAGGCCCTCATGTGGGTGAAAAAACAAGCTACAATGAGTCAATTTAGTGAATTTTGGGCAAAATATTGCGACTTTTCTAGCATATATTTGGGTGGGGATAGTGCTGGCGCAAATTTGGCATATAATGTGGCCTTAAAACTTGGTACATCTGATATTAGGCCCCTAATTCTTAAGGGAATTATCTTAATACAACCATTTTTCGGAGGTGAAGAGAGGACTAACTCCGAGTTAATTAAGGTACAATCGCGTAAATCAAAATTGAGTCTAGCGGCATCTGATACGTATTGGCGATTAGCATTGCCCTCGGGGGCGGACCGAGACCATCCATGGTGCAATCCTCTAGGGAATGGCACAAGAAAATTGGAGAATATGAGGGTTATAATATGTGTAGCTGAGAAAGATATACTAAAAGATAGGAATTTGGACTTATGCTCAGTTTTAGCTAAGAATATGGGCAACAAAGTAAAGCATCTAATTTCTGAAGGTGTGGGACATGCATTTCATATTTTGGATGACTCTCAATTCTCAAAAAATCGTAAGATGGAAATGGTTTCTCATATTGTGGACTTCATTAACGAATAGATATTTAACTAAGCAATTATTGTTAGGAGTAGAATTTACAAAAGATTTAAGGGTAGAATATTTTTATTTTTTTAATTTATGTTTTTCACTATTTTATTTGTATAATTGTAACTTTGTAGAATTTTTAGATTACTATTTTATACACCAAATAATCTTTGTAATACTAATACTACTATTTTATAGGCTACTAAATTTTCTACATAATACTCTATAATTTTCCATGTACTAATGAATATCAATTCCTAGTTCAGTTCAACTTGTTCTCAATTACTTTTCAAATCTACCAAAATTTAGGTAATATGTAGTAAAGGAATAGTGTAATTGAATCTAATTATTTTAAAACATCTTTGAGTTTAATCCAATCAAGTCTGAAAATAGGTAAATAGGATGAGAAAGTATATACAGTACTAGAAAAGAATTGTAAGTCAGTTTAGTATTTCGTTTTGCTGATTTTTAACGAGGGGCAAGCTCTGGTTACTCTTATGATGCCATTGTTGCAAATAAGGTGAATGAAACATAGCTGGATCGATGAAGATTTGTTACTATTAACGGAAGGGAAGATTTCCATTGAGGTAACACGACATAAAAGAACATAATTTACAGATACCCTTACAATCAATAACATCATGTAGGAACTACGAACTTTTAGAAATATAAACACTTGGTATTAATACATTATGGTACTATGATTGGAATTATGGAATTTTTCTCACCAACATAAAACAGGGCCACCTTAATTGAGAAGATAGGTGCAGATAAAAAGATCGGCAAAATTCATGAACAAACCAGAGGCATGGTTTTCAACTAGGAGTATTATTAAATAATTTGTACAAAAAACAAAGAAAAAGAAGGCCAAAGAAATGGTACAATTAATAAGAGTGCACTCTGAGAGCTCTCTAAGGTTATATCATACTCAGACACGCAACTAGCAGAACCTAAAACTCATGATTACAAGAAGATATGTTTCATCTGAATGCTATAGAAACTACAGCGCCTTTCTGCAGACTGAAGTATACCAACCTTTAAGAACCTCATTCAGCTAGCTTGCCTTAACTAGACATCATCACATGATCAATGGATTGGAGCGCTTGGTTTGCAAAGAAACGAACATCAACATCAGGGTCCTCATTCAACTCAACTAAACAGGGTCGAATTGTTTTCTCTATTACCTGCATTAAAAGTAAACCCTCATGTATAATCAGGTACGCAGCTCAATAGGATAAGACTAAATGTTAAGGTATGAGGTGCATCTACTTACAGATTGATCAACAATTGGTACAAGGGATTGCAACACCTTTGCTACATTGAACTTTATGTTGGGAACCCTAAACAATTATTAAAAGAATTAGTCAGGAATCCAACACCAAAATAAATGTGAGAATATTTTACTACTGATAGACTTATTACCTGTCTTTTGAGGCAGTTATCACAACTGGCAATAACTTTGTGCACGTAATTTCAGAACCCAAGACAGGAGCAAGTAGAGAAACTGCATGCAAAATTGTCATCCGGTACAGATAGTGTGGATTACTCATCATCTCCAAAACCTGCCAGTTCAGATCAGATTGACGAGTAAATCTCAGCAAAACATGAAAAAATAATTTGAATACATTGAAGAGCCATAGTGATTTTTGAGGAATTGTTGAGGTACCAATGGGGATGAGGTTCAAGGACTGCACCAAACTGCCAGGTGCAAGGCGAGATAAACTCAGCCAGTGCCAGTAGGCAATGGATAATTTTGGGGAGGACATATGAAAGAATATTAACTCAAAAGCTGTACCTGTGGAACAATGTGCTGCATGGCCCACTCAGGACCAAATTCTTCTGCAAGGCGCTTCACATTATTAGCAGCAGCATCGCGAATAGAGTACACCTACAATGTGGGCCTTGTCAATTATCACTCAAATACTTGAGATCAAGCTAAAAATACAATTCGTGAATAGCATGTTCAGGAATTCAGATAACTAGGTGACTTGCTAATGATTTATTCGGTGGAAATGTAGCGGATGAGAAAAACCTCAGTTTTAATTGAAAGATGAATGAAATCAGATAAAATTAGAGAACGGATCAGAAAACTTGAATCTAACCTTATCCTGCAACCATTGCATACATAGGGCACCAAGTTTATCATCAAAAAAACCAACACCCAGTTGGCTTGCAAGTAATGGTATGTACTCTATAATTGCAAGCCGGACTCTCCAATGTCTATCTTCAGCAAGCTCCACAATGGCAGGCAAGAGGGATTGAGACAATAGATCAATGCCAATAACCTACAGAATAGCTTCAACATGATTAGAGGCAGTAAGAAAATTAAAGCAAATACAGGGTAACTTTTTCTACAAGCTAAAAAAAAAATATCATATAAGGCCACTATATATTTGGGTGTCATGTCATGTCAAAGGATCCAACAAACTACACTCGACGTACATCAGGGTGTAGAAGTAACATGATTTACATGTCTTGGAATAAAATTCACTGGCAGTTTTTGGTTAATAACTTAATTTTCCAAATAAATAGCATTGCAATCATGAACAGCCCTTAAGCTGGCATAAGTCAAGCCATTAGGACATGTGCTGGTCAACCACCAGCACAGGCCACTACCAAATCTAGATTTGCCACATGTACATTCTAAAGGATATACAAACATAACAGGAAGTAAGGGAAAGAACAGCAAAAATACACTGTTAAACAGACCTGATTTACTTGATCGAGCTTGCTGATTATATTAAGACGAACATCTGGGAATTCGTCCTTTAAGAGGGAAAGAAAGATTGGAAGAAGTTGGTCAATCGTGGCATCCTGCAATACCACCAAATCAATTCCATTCAGAAAGTGGTAAAATTTTCAAGCACATCAACTGGAGAATCATAAAGAAAATTTCTCTAATTCATATAACTGAAATTTCAAAATGAAAAATAAAACAATCAAAGAGAGAAAGTTGCATGGCATATTGACTTATTGAGTACTAAATAAAAGAGTACTCAAATGAAACAAAGCGGCAGAATCCTTTAGTCTTCCATCATAACTGGAAGATAAAAACAGTAAGCAGAGTAGCAGACTAATTCCTTATATTTCTACCTTTCCTAAAACAGGGGCCATTCCCATGATCACAGATGCCAAAGCAGAGCGAACATGCTGAGAAGAATCAGATGACAAGTCCTGTACAATACCATAAAAACAAATTTTAATAAAGCATACCTACCATTATTAAAAATGTTCACAAATAACAAAAGTTTACATATAAAAATTATTTAATATAGTCATATACCTTAACACAAGGCAGAATATGTTGGATTGCGAGCTCAGGACTCAAAATCCGACAAAACTTAGTTACTTTACCAGCAGCTGCAATACGTACTTCAGCTTCATTATCTCTAAGTAGTCGTACATATGCAGGAACTAGATCCGTCCTAAAACAATTGTAGGTGAAGGAAATATGTTAATTAAAGCTATGAGGAGTCCAGGATCAACATGTTACAGATTAGATAAATAAACACAAGGACGTAGGGAAAAAAAAAAAAAAAAGTATAGACACACAATGTTCAAGCCAAAAAAAGGAATAAAGGAGACAGAAAAAATTTAATATAGCTAAATAATTGTAGATGAAGCAAAGCAGATGACTCCCAATATACACAAGCCCCTTATATCACATCAAACACCCAAGACAATGGCAGAAGTATACTAGCACCAAATGTGACCACTCTCCAAAATCTAACAAGCCATTCTCAAGCCAAAGATCACCGACACAAAGCCTGCTAATCACAATTGATAAATAAAGACAGTGAACTTCAGCCACTTAACTCTTACAGAAGAGTATCCTGATGAAACTGTGAGCCTTCCTGGGAGTCCAAGCTTTCTTGTGATCCTCAATAGATACGGTATATCATTGTAGCTCCTTCATCCTTGAAAGCGCATCGAATTAATCCAAACCATATGCCTTCTTAATTCTAACAAAAAGGCAATTCTTATTTTCTAGCTTAAAGCCAGATCAGCCATTCCCCAAAAAACTAACAAAAGTTATCAATCTTTTCACAGGACCATTATTATTACTATCTGTGTGAAAATAATTTCAAGCCAACTTATCTACTCAACCGTCTGCCATTGATATTTGAGAAATGTAGAGATCCCAAAAGACATTCAGAAACACAGAATCACCAATAAATAGCTCCTCCTAGAATCTTATAACAAAAACCAGCATAGTAAGACAACAATATACAAAAAACTGATATAAGTACTTCCTATGTTCCATAATGATCTTCACTCTTTCCCTTTCATGGCATTTCATAAAGTCATAAACCTCATTCTCTCACTATCACATTCACTCTCCTATTTAGAAGCAAAGAACACTCACTCCTTCCATAGGCTTCTATAACCACAATAAATATGAAGGTCATTATTATACAAAGGGAGTACCATACAACCCATATGTTCTAGGCTCCTAGAACTCGCTTTGAAAGGATAGTGCATATAAATACTTCAAAGCAAAACCCTAACAATACGCTCCTTTCATTTCATAGAATCTGTCTACGCTCCTTTCATTTTATAGATTTTTTTTTTTTTTAAATTCTATATCAATCACTAAAATCATCAATCTTCTATTAAATCTCAACTGATACTTTTTGTCAATTATAAATGCCAATAGCTACTAACTCCTTGGTATGTGCGCATAGCCTTGAAAGAACCAATCATATCAGTCAGGTCAGGTAAGTTCACGTTCGGTAAAAGTCAGTTTACGGGTCACTTTAGGGTCAAACAAATTTTCATTATATTCAGATTTTGATTGAAATACTGGGTTTAAGACCCTCCATACTCAAAGATTACTGATTTGGAATGGAGGGAGTAAAAAACAAGTACCACAATGAGGTTATGGTCACAATTTTGATAAGAAAAATGTAACACAAATTAATATAACCAATACACTGAATGATTAGCGATTAAAGATCCCAAGTTCAGAAAGCCAGCTCATTTGAATAGGTCATAAGACAAGTTAGAATACATGAAATGACTTGCATGGAAGATCTTATAGGATTAGATATACCAAAAATTACCAGAAACAATTGACAATGCAGCTTCCCCTTAACTAGAAAAAAACCAACTCGGAATTACTATCCAAATACGATTTGTTAAGGATGTCATCCCATAACTCAAATTTTCACAAACAACCTTCATATTCTTAGAGCGTCAGATAATAAATTCGACTGCAAACAAGTCTTGTCGCTAATGAAACACAGCAAAAACATACAGACACATCTAGGTGGGCCTAATTCCTATTAAAAAAAAAAATTACTAATATGATTCCAATCAAAGCCATAATCCTGGTGAAGGCATTACTAGTAAAGTTAATGCAGTTCATAAATAAATTTGGAAGAAGCAAAGATCAAAGAGGTAACAAACTCCCCACAGGTCAACGTACCACACCCTTTCAATAACCCAAGAAAAGCAATATAATACAGGGGTCAAGAGCCATAACCAACAAAGCATACTCTTCCAATTCTACACAAGATGCTTTCTGAAATTAAGATTTCAAGAAAATAATAGAGCAGTTGAGATCCAATAATCACCTTGTCGGCTCAGGGCCAACAGCTTCGCAAAGTTCATACAGTTGGTTGGCAACCATGTACCGCACACGCCAAGACTTATCCTGCTCCAGCACCATAAAACAGAATAAGGTTACCAATAGAAAAGCTAGATTTTCCAAAAATGCTTCCCAAGCATAATCCATAGACTCATTCGCATCCTCTTCATTCAACAAGATACCAAAGTTTTTGAAAAGCAAGAATATTTTCAAAGTACACAAGAAATCTACCTTAAAAACAGCATTCAACATTCTGTAACAATTACATTCGAGTATGTATTTCAATATAAAGATACACAAATATTCCAAAACCTCTTAAACAATTTATTGAAATTTTTGGATAAAAGAACTAGTGCACATGCACAATCATGAATAATAGTATGTTCCACTGCACCTTCTCTATAAAAGAAATAATGGGCAACAAAAGAAACAACGCAGTGGAAGTAACAGCCACTTACCCACAATTGAGACCATGATCAACCCACAGTTGAATAATATTGCTAGTGGAACATTGAAATACATACAAAACAATAAATTAAAGAAGTAAATTACCTGAGAGAAATTAACTATAACAGGAAGTATATGTGCAACACAATCCTGCGGCTCCAACAACTCCCCAAGTGCAGCACAGCCCTCAACAGCTAACAAGCGCACAGAGTCCTGATCTATAGTGAAGAAAATTCAAATAAGCACTCATAAGGGTAAAGAATGGATGTTTTGAATACAGAAAAGGAGGAAAAAGGATTTGCAGAATGCAAAAGATGCGAGTTTAATCTCATAATTATCAACCCTAAGATGTTTTCAACCTTTATATACCAAGATGACCTCAAACTTTTAGCAATTGGGGATTTTAGTAGCACACACAACGAGGCAAGTAGCCACCCTAAAATCACCCCTATTCTACACTCTATTCAAGCTAGTAACAGAATTTCACTCCCATATCCCTACAAGGAAGACTTCCAAGATGCAGCAAAGTCAAATTCCTCATCCACTGTCATTGATATAAGTAATGACACCAATAAGTAGTTAAAATAGTGATAGTAATGAGGATGTAAAATGCCATAGTTCTAACCGGACTAGGGAAGTGAAGTGGAATTATGTATAAAACTGAACTATTTTGAATGTTTGTAATTTGATTAGTATAATTCTCTACCCTTAGTGGTGCACCTATTAAAAAGGTTTTCTATTCTTATCTATTCCAAAATTATTTATGTATCTAGGAATTGTAGGCTCTATATCATCAAAGTAGCAGACCAACATAGTAATTTGGCTAATACTAACCCTTTTGGATCATTTAATGAAAAGGCATTAGCACCAAGCTACTATCATTTGATTAGTTTGATCCAACATCTATCTAGTATGTCAACTCCTAGATACACAAGGCATGTCTACATGCAGCATAAAAATTTGAACTTAGTTTCATAATCCTCAACCCTAACATTCTTCTCCATCTATGAACCATTATAAGCGCCCTAGGGCTGTGCCCAAAAGACGTATGTAATCTAACGTTCTTTCACACTAAGGGAGCGTTTGGTATGAATAATGAAAATGGAATGGTAAAGAAACAAATAAGAGAGAGGAAAGGAATTATTAAACTCTTATATTTGTATTTGTTTGGTTTAATCATGGAAAGGGCCAAAGGGGTCACTTAAAGCTTACTCCCTTTCTTTTTGTTTGAGGAGGGTAAGGGTAATGGTTACCTTAGGTTTTAGAGAGGTAAAAAATAGGTGGAAACTATTACCCCTAGGTAACTGTAATTGTTACTCAAACCTTCTAACCAAACACTTGGTAACGATAATGGTTTAATTGAATCCGTTTCCAATCCAAAAAACACTCTTACCAAACATGCTTATAGATAAGCTTGCAATGGAAATATTTTATTCTTTGGCTTTTCAAATATCCTTACAGATTGACAGCGAACAAACTAGCTAAAAGATTAAGCCCCCCAATAGAATTATGAGAATCCGAGTCTACATTTCTAATTGGGTTATATTGTAGATCTATCCTCATCCTCTACACAAATCAAGAGTCTCCTCCATACAAAATGTTCTAAAATAATCACCCACTCCAGCTCTTGCACCTCCTCCCTCCCTCTCACAATTCCTATATACTATTATTATCATCAAAATGATTGGTAATTTTATTGAATTGTTTATTGTAAAGTGAAATAAGTTGAATGTTATTTTATTCATAGAAATAGTGCATTGGTCATTGTAAAGTGAAGTTAGTGGAATGTTTGAATGAGGGGTGGTGATAAACCTTAAAAGTGGTGGGCCATTGTGTAAGATAGAAAAACAATTAAATATTAGTGGGTCATTGCCATTTTTAGTAATGTGTCAATTATTTAAGAACAGAGGGAGTATTACCGTATTATTGGCACATAAACTAGCTATACATACAATTTTATATCAAGGTACAACCACATAACATATTTGTTTAAAATTGTAGATGGGTTCATCATTACATAGCTCACCTCAGTAATTTGCTAATCATTGCCTATGGTCTACCTTGCTTTCACACAAATCCTTGGCTATCTATTACTAAATCAACTAAAGTAGCTTTAAAGTTTGATTAAACAATTCTAAATTCAGCTAGAGTCTTCAATAGAGAAAATTAAAAAAAAGAAAAAGAAAAAGAAAAGAAAAAGGATGTAAGGAAACAGGGGAGTCAACAAATCAGTGTTATGCGACAAACAGTTCCCTCATTTCAAAATTAAAAGAATCTGAACAGATCATTGTGTTGGGATGACTAAAAAAACAAAGATCAACGAAGAGGGAAACAAGTGAGAATCACTAACCATCTTGTGTTAGATCCTCAAACATTGCCATAACATCAGTCTTCAGATGAGTGGGTTCAACAGTTGCGGCAAACTTCCCCAGATTTGTGGCAGCAGATCTTCTCACCATTGGCATGTCATCTTGACATAACTGGTTGAATATTGACCTTAACTCAGTCTTCAACATATCACGGGCACTTGGATAAGCAATGTGAAAAAGTCCGCAAGCAGATACTCGGGCTGTAAACCATTCTCCTGCTGCCAATCTCTGTAAAGCGGAAATGTTTAAATTGTGAGTTTTCAAAGAAATACAACAGCACATGGCCATGCTTTACACTATAGGCTTCACAATTGATCAATATTAAAAGAAAAGAAAAACGTTTAACAGCAATCACAGATACATCAGCTCAAAGCAAAGAGTCGAGAATTTGAGATGCACTTTCATTTCTTTTTCAAAGTACTTCAATTCAGCATGATGGGGGTACTTTACTTTCCCTTCCAGAAAGAAAGAAAGACAACACATTCTACGAGCTCATATAATTATTCCCATTAAGGTTGAAATTTGGCCATGATCAGGGATTCAGGGTGAAGTAGACTAATAAAGATTGGAAAGTTATACCTATGACTCTATGAGATATAAAACTGAAGAAATAGACACTGAGGAGCAAACACTAACTAGCACGGTACCAAATCCCTCATTCAATGAAATGCCTAATCCAATTCCAACACTAAGTTCTGAGAGTTTCGATCTAATAATGTAAGATTCTATAACCAATAGCCTCGATTCTCAATTAATACAAAACAAGCACCAATCATGTAACAAAATATACTTATAATAAAGGAAATTTACCTTCACTAAAGGAATGAAATAATCAACCAAATCACTTTCCCTCATCTGGGATCCAATTCTACTCAACGACTCGACAGCTTTGTCCCTCACACAAGTCTCCTCTACTGTGCAAAGCGTTTCCAAGGGCGGAAGCAAAACATGGGCATGCTCGACACCACCAACATACGGTATAAATACACCCAATTCCTCCGCCATCGCCAGAAGAACCTCATCATCATCATCATTATTCTCACTCAAGAATGGGATCAACTCTTTCCGGGTTCGCTCCTCTCCAAGGGCACGAGCAATTGTAGACAGCCTCCGAATAGAATTTAATCGTAGCTGTATATCATCATTTTTCAACTCATCTATCAAAACAGCAATTGGATACAATGGCTCATCCATTGTAGACATTCTATCACAGAGATTCTCCTGTATCCCAAAAAACAAAAAAAAAGCCCATGAGAACTGACAATAAATCACAAGAAATATAATATCTCAAAGATTTGATGATCATAAGTCCCATAATTTTCCCCAAATTTCTCAAATACCAATCAAAAAGAAAAATTAAAATGTGCGGCAGAAAATTCTAAGGCCCAAAAGGCGAAAACAAGATTGAGACAATCATCCATATTTCCAATTTTCAATTCATGAAATGATAAAAACAACACAAAAACATTGAGCTAAAAAAAATTTACAATCGAAAAATGGGATCTAACGAAAACCCTAGAATTCAACTTCACCACCTTCGAAATTCGTGCTAAATCCAGCTAAAATTGGGAGAATTGCATGAAATCAAAGATAAAGAAGCTCAAAAACATATGAATCTCAAATCATATCTAACATTTGCAAGCAATTATACCTCGAAATCGAAAAATCGACGAAAGAAAAAAGTGAGAAAGAAAAAATCAATGGGATTTTATATAAATCTGAATTAATTTTGCTGGAGATAAAAATGAGAAATTGGATAAGAAAAAAAATAAAATGGGAGGAGAGAGAAAGAAGTAAAACCGGTTGGAAAAGGTGATTCCCGCCGGCTAAGGGTGTTATACCAAGGCGCGATCTTGCGTTTGCGCTCCCTAACTTCGGTGTTTAGAGCATATCTTTAAGGGTGAACATTTTAATAGTTCACAATGAGTGAACAAATAAGGTGGTGGCTTAATGGCAAACTCTTTAATTGTTCATGTTGAGTGGTCATGGGTTCGATTGCAGGAGCAAGCACTTGCATGAATTAATTCGTTGTGGGCCCCACCATTATTTTGGACTGATATTCATGCAAAACGAAGGTCAGAAAAAAAAATAAAAATCAGCGGCTGGGAGCGCGCCACTTGGCCCAGCCGCTGCTTGACACGTGTGTACTGTTTTAAATATATCCGTTGTAATTTTACAACGGATATATTTTACAAAATACAAATAAAAAAAAAAAAAAAAAAATTACCAACGACTCTATTTTTTTCCCCTCTATAAATAGACACCCATATTAATATACTTTTTTCAACTTTGAAAATTCATTTTTTTCTACTATATTTTTCTCTTCAAAAATCCCCTCTATAATTACCAATATTATTATTATTTATACCAATATTAATATTATTATTGTTATTATTATTTTTAATTATTATCATTAATATTATTATTATCGTTACTATTATTTTTATTATTATCGTTATTATTATTATTATTATTATTATTATTATTATTATTATTATTATTATTATTATTTTTATTATTATCATTATTATTATTATTATTATTATCCTTATTATTATTATTATTATTATCGTTATTATTATTATTATTATTATTATTATTATCGTTATTATTATTTTTATTATTATTGTTATTATTATTATTATTATTATTATTATTATTATTATTATTATTAAATTTTGAAAATTCATTTTTTTCTACTATATTTTTCTCTTCAAAAATCCCCTCTATAATTACCAATATTATTATTATTTATACCAATATTAATATTATTATTGTTATTATTATTTTTAATTATTATCATTAATATTATTATTATCGTTACTATTATTTTTATTATTATCGTTATTATTATTATTATTATTATTATTTTTATTATTATCATTATTATTATTATTATTATTATCCTTATTATTATTATTATTATTATTATCGTTATTATTATTATTATTATTATTATTATTATTATTATCGTTATTATTATTTTTATTATTATTGTTATTATTATTATTATTATTATTATTATTATTATTATTATTATTAAATTTTTATTTTTTCCAAATATAAATTATAATTATGGATGCTAATACCAACCCCAAAACAAATAGAAAGAAGAAAAAAAAATTGGGTCAAAATATGATCCCGAATCAAGCCAATTTTCCTCCAATTCACCCAAATTTTTCACAAACACCCACAAATATTCCCCATAATTTTTCTGGAGTTTATCCTCAAATACCCCAGTCAAGTTTCCCAAATAATCCACCAAATTTCCCTCAAAATTTTAATTTTTCTTAAAGCAGTTCAAATTTCCCACATCCATCCATGATACCAATGGGTTACGGTGAATATGGTGGCTGCATCTGGTTATTTTCCGTCACAACAACCGAATCCCAATATTTGGGAATCGAGCAATGTCTTATCTGAAGAAGATGAGGCAAATGAAGAATGCGAGGATGAAGATGAGGCAAATGAAGAATGCTTAGTGTCCTTTATTTTTATTGTAGTTAAGTGTGTTCAATTCCTTTGTTGTTCTTCATTTTCAGTAGTGATAAGTTTTCAATTCCAGTTCAACCTCTTGTACTCATTTCCTTATGTTTGTACTTTATCAATTAATCAGTAAAATGGATCTTTTCCACTTTCCCATTTTCATAGCCCATGTGATCTTATTCTGTTTATTCAATTATATCAATTTGTCTCTTTATATATAATTGTGTCAGTATCTTAATTTCCCCTTTGTTAGCCCATGTGAAACCCTTCTTCTCCATTCAATTTCTGTGTGGTTCTAATCCAGTGTTGGTCATAGCCCATGTGAAACCCTTCTTCTCCATTCAATTTCTGTGTGGTTGTAATTCATTGTTTGTCATAGCCCATGTGATCTTTGTCTCTTTATATTCAGTTATTTCTGAAGAAGAATTACAAATTAGTTCACTATAAATAAACACCATTATTTCATTTTTTTTACACACAAACACATAAATCGTTTGCAGTTACTATTAGCAAACCTCACTCTATCTTACATTTCTTACGTACAACTAGCTTACGGGTGTGCTTCAGACGCTTGTGATGAGTATGTCCGTATAAGTGAGGCAACTTCACGATTGGCACTCCAAAAGTTTACAGAAGGTGTCATCAACCTGTTCGGTGATTAGTACCTACGCCGTCCAAACATCGCAGATATGGAAAGATTGCTACGTATTGGGGAAGAACGTGGATTTCCTGGCATGATAGGCAGCATTGATTGTATGCAGTGGGAGTGGAAGAACTGTCCACACGCATGGAAGGGGCAGTATCAAGGAAGAGAAGGAGTTGCAACTCTCGTACTGGAGGCAGTTGCGGACAGAGATCTATGGATATGACATTCGTTCTTTGGGATGCCAGGTAGCTACAACGATATTAATGTGCTTCATCGATCCCCTGTGTTCGAAGACATCTTAGAGGGTCGAACACCTCCTGTGAACTTCGTAGTCAATGGTCATCATTATACGAATGGGTATTATCTTACTGATGGAATCTACCCTAGATGGGCTTCTTTTGTGAAATCCATTACGAGTCCACAAACTCGTCAGGATCGTTTATTCGCAAAACACCAGGAAGCTGCAAGGAAAGACGTTGAACGCGCATTTGGGGTCCTTCAAGCTCGTTTTGCCATTATTAAAAAGCCATCTTTGGCGTGGGATACCGACATACTCCACAATATCATGCTCGCCTGCATCATAATACATAATATGATCGTTGAAGATGAACGAGAGACGTATCAAAATAACGTTAATACCAATGAGTTTATGAATGTTGGAGGCAACGCTAATGAGGACACTACCGAGTACCGTACTGATCGTATTGTGGATATCGGCTTATACTTGTCTCGTAGAACAGAGATTGAGGATCAACAGACTCATTTGCAGCTAAAAAACGACTTGGTCGAACATATATGGAATAAATTTGGTAACAACGAAAACTTAGGCAACTAGGTTTACAACAAATGGTTATCCCTAAGGACATCTTACAAAACGATGTGTAGTTGTTTTTTTTTTTTAAATAAAATGTACTAGATTATAGTTGTAGAACTGTAATCACGATTTGTACCTCTTTTTTTTTGTTAATTAAAATTAGCTGCGTTGTTGTTTAAAAAATATTAATCACAAGAATTAGTTTTTTAAAAAGCTGATAAAAAAATGCGATAATTTCTTAATTAGTAATCACGATTAAAATATTAAATACGTCAATTAATTACATTGACATCGGGTTAATAAATTATAATTATGAAACAAAAAAGATTATATTTACAAAAATAAAATAAGGTGGGGTAGGGAGTGTTTCGGGGTTTTCTGATGTCCTGCGGGAGAGTTACAATTCCGAGACTGGAACCGGACGCCTGTACCTGCAAAATAACGGAGACTCCTGAGAGCTCCGCCTCCAACGGTCAAGTTAGTACCTGATTAAGGAGTAATCAATACAGAAATTAAAGTAATCAGATCTCTCTAGGTGAGAGTGCTTAGTGTTGGTAATCTGCGTTGTTAGCGAGATTAGCCGGTTGTTAATAAGTTTGTTCTTCTCTGCTTGATCTCTTAATTATTCGGTTTTTTGATTAATGAGGATTAATCGAGTATTTATAGCCTTGGGAAGCGTGCAACTCTCTAGGTTTAAGGTAAACCTAGGGCTGATCGGGCCTCTAGACTGAATTGGGCCTTGATGGCCGGTTGTCCCACTTGGCATGGGTGGACACGTGGCGTGTCTTAAGTGGTCCGTGGAGGACGTATCTGTGACTGACACGTGGCAAGCTCCTGTTGGCCTTCGTGAAGGACACGTGGCGGAACCTGGTTGGTCCACTTGTCAGACGGTGATTGGTGGATAAAAATCCCCTAATCATTTGCCCCTCACAGGTGGCACGCGACTGGTCACGTGTCGCCTGTGACAGGTGTCGCACGGTGACAGGCGACGGCCCGTTACAGGTGTCACCTTGTAGACGGCCGAGAGATTTTCCCGCCCAAACTTGAATTCGGAAGCGACCCTTCGCCTTCTCATTTTGCCTATAAAAGGAAGTGCTGACTTCGGTCATTTTCACATTTGAGAACTTTTGCGAGAACATTCGGACCCCTGAACTTGCTCTGACATTTTCGGACTTTTTCTGCCTACCGCCTGTTCTGACAAGCCGACTGACCCGAACTTCCAGGACTTCATCAACCGTCACCCGTTCAGGTAACTCAGTTCTCTTACTCTTAATTTTCTTTTTATTTTTTGAAATGGCACCATGGAAGCACACGACACGCCCTAAGTTAGTGATCAGCCGGTCACCGGGGACGGCTGAATCTAGGACTAGGAGTGCCGCCTGCCCTTTTCTGGACCCATCTTTGCCCTTTATACAAAGTCCGACTGAATCTGTGTCTATGCAGAACGTGATGGCCAGAACAAAAAAGACTGCTATGATATCAAACTCAGACGGCTCCTCCCAAAGGGTGCTCCTTAGCGAAACATCTGACCAGGCGCCAGATGTAGAACGAGGCGACTGTCAAGCTGACAGTTCTGAGAGAGGGACCAAGGTGTTCCCTTCTCATCTAACCGTGGACATGTCTAATTTTCCTTCTGCTCCTTCTAAGGGAGAGGAGGCGGGCCCCTCTAGGAGAGGGGAGGAGTCGTCCTCTTCGGACTCGTCAGGGGACGAGTCCGAATCCAGCTCTTCTGACCATAGTTCTTCTGGCTCAGAAGAAAAACATAGCCGCCTACAAGAGGCGAGAAGTTCTCATGCAGTGGAGAAGGGGGATAATTGGGCAGAGCCGTCCGCCTCTTACAGAGAGGAAAACGCCCCCTACTACTGCAGGGTGCCCCGGGGCCGGATTGCAACCATGCGAGACAACGTGGCGAGCTTTATTGCTAACCACAAAATGGGCCCGGAGTATTTACTGTTTGTGCCGGATCCAGAAGATACTGTCGTCTGGCCGGCTGGTACCAGCTATGGTGACGGCTGCTTTGGCTGCTATGTGGCGGCCATCAAAGCTGGACTGCGCTTCCCATTACATCCGGCTGTTCAGCGGATTTTAGATGGGTATGATCTGGGGTTATGGCAGTTAGCCCCCAACTCTTGGGTAAACGTACTCGGCTATGTGGCCGGGTGCGAATTGAACGGGGTGGAGCCAAGTTTTGAGGCTTTCGCCCATATGAACTATCTCAGCCGGACCCCTAAGTCGGGAGGTACCGGCTGGTATCAACTAACAAGCCATAGGGGTTACCTCATGACGAGAGGTAAGGCAAACAAATGGAAGGATTGGCGGAACACCTTCCTTATTATCGAGAGTTCAGACACGAAGCTGAACAAACGTTTTAACAAGTGGAACAGGGATCCGCCTCTTCTCGCAGGCGGCCGCAGCATGCCGCCTGTTCCCCCAAAGGCTAAAAAAGAGATCCTAGACAAAGGACTCTTCAAAGTAGAGACTAGGGTGAACTCTACTTCAGGGGTACGAGAGCAAGTACCCCTAAATTGCGTCCCGAGCTTCAAGTGGCTCTATGACGAGTACTTCTTGGCCGCCTGTGGCCTCGGCAGTCGGTGCTCTAGAGGTAGCCGGCCTGACGAATACTCTGTTTTTTCACGCCTTGTTTACTTGGGATTTTTACTAACTTTGCTGTTTATTTCTTTCAGCCGACGCCATGAGTAAAATAACAGCATCTAAGACTGCGGCGGCCATGCTGCGGGTCTCACTAATGAAGCAGTCGTATGTCGACTCCCCCAGCAAGGAGGCACCCTTGGTAGGCTTTGAAAACTCTTCTCCTTTTAGTTGTATTATGCATATACTAACTCTTTTTGTTTTCAGTCTGGCACTCCAAGGGCTTCTTCCTCGCAACAGCCGGACCCCAAGGCCCGGAGGACGACTGTTGCCAGCTCTCCTGGGTCTTCCAGGAAAACAGTGGCGGCTGAGAAGCAGCCGGCCACTTCTTCAAAAACCCAGGCGGGGCCGCCTAGATGTATGGACCCTCACTTGTAAAAAACTCACCCTTGCTTCTTTCTTGATTAAGTCTAACTTGTTTTATCCTTTTACTTAATGCAGCCGGCCCCCAGGGACTTGACTTGGTTGAGGTAGCCAAGTCAATGGTTAGAGTAGTTCCTCCATCTGACAGGGAGGCGGTCAAGGGTGCCGGCACCCTTGACCTCGATGGAATTTCAGGGATCCTAGCTGAGGTATACTTAGCACCTTTTTGAGCTTTTGAGTTCCAGGACGCCTGTTAACTCTTTTGATTGGAAACTGACGCCTGTTTTTCTTTGTACTTAGGCCCTGCTCCGAGTCAACAGCCTTCGCAAGCCGATTGATCGGAAAAACAAAGAGGTAAAGGCCGCAAAGGCTATGGCCGCCTCCAGCTGTGATAAGGCAATGTTTCAAATTGCCCAAAATGAAGTACTGACCATTGATCTTCTTTATTATCAGGCGCAGGCGACCGCCGCTGTTCGGGCTCAGCTAGAGGCGGCCCAAAAGAAGGTTGACGAGCTGGAGGGGACCGTCACCAAACTTAAAGCCGAGCTGAAACCCCTTCGCCAAAAAATGCACTCTTACGAGGCCATGGAGAAATCTTTGGCTAACGTAAAAGAACGCCTGGTGAACCAGGAGAAGAGTCTTACCCAAGAGCTCTCGGACAAGGCCGAGCAAGAGAAACAAGAGCTCGTCCGGGAGATGGTGGAAGACTCCGCCCAAATCCAACGCATGACCTGGGAACGACTGTTCCCCAGTGCCGACTTTGCCTCATGGGAAAGAACGTACCGCCAGTGTTCGGAAATATATAATCAACAGATCCTGGCGGCTGCTGAAGAAGAGGCGATGGACGTTGCGTTGGAGGAGGAAGAGCCGGTTGTGGCGCTTGTGCCACTTGGGGGTAAGGCATCAAAAGATGATGCAGCCAAGGCCAAGTCCAGCAAGAAGAGTGCTGACCAGGCGGCTGCTGCTGATACTGAACTGCCCCCTTCTTAAGCTTTAAGTATATTTTTCTTTTCACGGCCTGCGTGCCGTTTGCTTTGTAATTACCCGGCCAGGGGGCCGGGGTTTTGAATATTCTGCTGGCCTTTTATGGCCGGCTCATTTTAATCAAATATTTTGTTTTTGTTCAAATTTGTCTAAGTATTTGAAATTTGCTCACTTGACCGACTGTTGTGTATGGCCAAACGTTAAGACAGGTAAGTATGCCGCCTATGCCCCTGGACGACTGGTTGTCTGTTTCCAGGATAGATGATCAGTCGGCCATTTTATCAATCGGTATTCGAACTCTTTATTCAATTTGACCAAGTAAATAGAATTACCTAGTAGCCAAGGAATTTAAGTAGGAAAACAAGCGGCGGGTACCGGTTGTTTCCCTTTATTGCCAATGTTGGCTTTAAACTCGTTATTTTTTAACCTAGCAAGAGTATTGGTTGAGAGCCTTTGTTTATTAAAAACAAGTGGACGACTCATACCTTTTAGGCTTCATACTAAGTTTGAGTGACTATTAAGTTAACATAGGAGTTACTTAGTCTTTGTCACAATCTTGATTGAGTAGTAGAGGTATCAGGCGGCGTAGGCCGGCTAGACCCCTTGATTCACCAATGTAAGCTATTATCTTAATAGGTTATCCAGTAGGAATAAGGGTTCGAGTGCCCTTGTTTGTTAAAAACAGGCGGACGACCCAAACTTTTTAGGTTCCATACCAAATTTGAAGGAGTGACTATGAGTTAACTTTGGAGTTACTCAGTCGCCGTCACTTTTGTTTGAGAAGTAGAGGTACCAGGCGGCGTACGCCGGCTAGACCCCTTGATTCGCCAATGTTTGTTGGCTATTAACTCAATAGGTACCCCCTGCATTTATCCCAAGTAATACAGGCGGTTATCTGACTCAGATGTCAACTGCTACCATTGGTTTGGTTAGTGATAGAGTTATCTTTGTCTCAAAAACGGCTACGTGGTTGCCCTTGGGGACAGTCGTATAGGTGCCGTGTAATTAGTTTATAGAACAATGTT